GTCATTTGGGTTTTTGTTGCTAAGTCTATTATAGGGGGTATATGACTTTCAAACATCTTTCAAGCTTTTCTAGTGTTCGCCCCCTGCACTAGCCATTGTAATGTCCTGCTTTCAATCAATTGTAATTTCAAGCTTTCTAGCAATCAATGATCAATTCATGTTCAATGTATTTCCATTTTATGTTGCAAGCTTTCTTTAAATTGTAATCAAATTTTCTTTCATCCCGAAACGACAAAGAGAAGACAGAAGGTAATCTAGTAAAGCAGACTACTACATCACGGTGTCCCTTTCCGTGCTAAGAAGAAAGGTAACCCGTGAAACTTGGTCAGGTTCGAAATGTTCCAGACTTGAAGAAAAATAACATCTCGTTAAGTACCCTGGATTTGATAAGGTACACAATCTCTGGAGTAGGTGGAGTCTTGAAGGTCCGAAAGGGTGTCCATGTTGTATTGGAAGGGTAGAGAAAGTTCCAGTTATACGTCTTTCAAGGTTGAGCAAAATCAATGAAAAGACATTAGAACATGTTTGGTATCGTAGTGGATATACAGTTTGGTACAGTATTGTTGGGAGTTAGCTCTGAGTCTATTTTGGAGAATACTACTCAGTCGATTTTGGGAGATATGGGTAATTCTGCTTTGTCACCACAGTCTGCTGTTCTATTGTATTCAACGGCTAGGGACAGACCCATTGGAGATAGGTACGAGGAAGCTGATCTGGATGTGCATGCGTTTGGAGTTGTTAAAGGTGACGAGTCTAGCCAGAGGCATTCAGTTAAAGCATTTAGTGTTAATTTTGTTACATGGTGTGCTTCGACCCTATTTAGTACATTTCCAAAGTCAGAATTCTTTCTTGCCAATAGATTATCTTCCTACAATCGAGTCCTCAAGCGCAATTTAGCCAAATAAAGTCATCTACCATACCAACCTAATTCTTAAGATTACTAACTTGCAGCCATCTTCTTGTTTTCACCAGCAATAGTGCAATAACGTACATGGTTAGACCTTTAATTTGAGCTCTAATACCAAATTGTCACAAGGCTGTCTTGAATTACAACAATCAACTTGTGATAGCGTCGAGTTTTCTCAACTTTGTCCGTTGACATAAATGCACTTCTGATAATTGAAAATGAGCAGAATTTAGCGTAAGTAATGCATAAAATTTAAATAACAAGGCAGCAAACGGAATTTACCAATTTTATTTCTTTAGAATAAAGAAAATACAGTTAACAAAAAATTGAGTAGGGCCAATGTAATGCGTTGCCTCGTCACCCTCTCTCATTCTAAGCCATCAAGTAAACTAGACATGCATGCTTCCATCACTTGCTTATTACAATTCTAAAATGTTGCCTTTTTGCATCCCATCAAATATGCGCACCGTTGGGTGCTCAGATACACTAAAAATGATAAAATTAGTTGAAAATTAATTTTAATTATGAACTATAGCCCCCAACAATTAATTTAAATGGACGAGCCCACCTCAATTCCTCAACTAATTTTTTATTTTAATTTTTGGCTCACTTATTTATTTAATTTTAGGTCCAATTTTTAAAATGAATTTGTTTAATTTTAATCGATACCCTTTCTTGTATCTTTACGTCATTTGAAAACCAAATTGAAATAATTCCCAAAATCTTTAAACCCAAAATCTTTTCACCCTCCCACATAGCCGTCGACCACCTACCACCGACCGTCGACCGTGTAAATTGTACGTATTTTCAAGTTTAGTAACAAAGAAATCGAGCTAGTTGAGGAGATTCTTTTTCAGATGAAAATTCACAATTTTTAACAGTTTGTAAATGTAAACAATAAATTGTAAGTATTTTAACTTACTAGGAATTGTGCAAAGCATCACATGTAATTATTTTGGCAAATATAATTATAGATGAATTTTATATTTTAAAACATTGTTGGTACATATGTAATATGTAACGTTATGTTACGATTTTTTTGTTATACATAAATCTTATTCGTACATTAAATTTAAAAAAAATTTTGTCCACTGTAGCATTAATTCCTGGCTCTATCCTGCCTTCGACTATGGCAATGGCATCGAACAAGACAACCCCGTGCTATTCCATTCTATCTACAAAGGGTCCTCACCGTGGGATACTTCGCCAAGTTCTCAAAAGGCCCTATATGATAAATAATATAGGGATTTTGGTAGATCCCTCGAAATCCTAAATCGTGCAAGTAAATCATGAATAATATTATCTAACACCACTGGTGATAGAGTACCAGTTTATGTAGCATTATGTGATATGTTCAATTAAAAGTGAAATTGTGTAATGCATTTAACTGAATCTTTAATTTCACGTCACTAATGCTGCCACCTAAACTAATATTAAATGTCAATAGTATTGAATAGCATTACTCCCAAATCAATACTCCATATTTGAGACATTAATCATTCCTTCACTAATCAATAAAGTTGTCCTCAAAATAAATTTAAAAAAAAATTTGTAAATCAACCGTTCAAATTTTATGGGATAAATGCCTATCTCATTCTTAATTGTGTACTCAATAAACATTACATTTCATTCTTATCGAATGTGCATCGAAATATCAATGTAACAGCGGACCTAATACCTTATTGGGCCGACATGATTTTAGAGACTGTCCAATGGGTTGGGCTATATTATTCACAACCAACTCTTTTCATGTCCAAGTTTGAATCCAATTTTTCAAAAATTCATTTTTAATCTCACGTTATCTTGATAAAATAATTTTACACGTAAATTTATAATTTTTCATTATTTTCTAAAAAATACTGTTACAAAACTCATTTTAACTACCATTTGCATCAATTTTGAGAAATTGACAGAGTCATTAAGCAAGAAACAGGTCGATATATTTCTTTATCAAATTTACACTTTAATTAAAACTAATCAATAACCAATCATATAATTTATTGCTAATCAAAAAAAAAAAAAAAAAANTTAAATTTTATTTCAAAAAAAAAAAAAAAAAAAAAACATGAGTGGGGAACCAATCATCTGCTTCGCAGAGTCTTTACACCACTCTTCATCGACTTAATCTTAATTATTCCTCTCCTCAACCTCCTTGCTTCAGCATATCTGGCCCGTTTATCTGCAAGATCTCTATTGACATAGGATGGTTCCACCCCGAAAGCCTCTTGAGGAGATAGATTCAAATCAGGAATTCCAACTGGGCCCACCTGATTAATATGGCACAATCCATCACTGGATGGGTAGTGAATATTTTCACCTATTTGTGTTGTTGATCCTGGGGCCATCTGATCTAAATTGAACGGCTGTTGATGAGCCACGGCAGTAATTTGATAATGTTGGGCTAAATTCATCTCAAAATTCAAGAATTTGTTCAATCCCATATGGGAATGGGATCCTTCGTTTATAAGGCAAGTTGTCAGTGCCTGAAACAAAGGCAATCAAAATTCTTACCAAACAAAGATGAAAAGCAAGAAAATGAGAGAATTGATCGATTGAAAATGTTCAAAAAAAGCACTTACAAAAAAGCTACTTTTTTTTTCTTTAGTCAGTATAATTGAAGCAATGTATATACCTTTTGTTTCATTAATTTCAACTCCAAATTGTAAGCCTTCAATTTGTTGTAGTAATTCCTGACATTCTCTACTTCCTGACACACAAAAGAGTCCCATTACCTCTTGATTTCTTGAAAAGATGAAACATGATAACAAATTGCTACAAAATACATCAAAATGATAAGATAAAAATATGAGAAACTAAAAGATTATCGATTTAGTTGGAAGGAAATTATAAACTCACCCCTTTAAGCAAATCTCTGCGCTGAGTTAATCCTTCTATCATCTCCATATACTTCTGCAAATTCAACAAAATATGGTGTAAATCACATACAATTCTTGAATAGCAAACTCGACAGAAGAAAAAATATAAAAGAGCCTAGAAACAGGGGAGCCATTAACGGCTGAAAACAAGGACTTGGCCCAGATGTCAAAACTCCAAGAAAATAGAAACATATAACAAATCCATACAACAAACTGGAGAAAAATATTTAAAACTTGGAATAAGAAAATACCCTTTTCTTCGAATTCTTGGACTTTTCATCAGATTCACTTGGCGAGAAAGAAAGAGGTGTTGTTGGACTTTTGGATGGCGGTTCCAGTTTGACTTGAGTTTGGATTTCGGTTTCAGTTCCATGAATGGAGGGTGAAGGTAATGAGTGTGCAGCAGCATGAGATGGATTAGATCTCCTCCTTTTACTACCCCATGAAAGATTGCTTCTTGATTCTGATACAGGAACTGAATTTCCCAAATCGAGTAAAATTTCTGCCACTTGAATCTCTTCCTCTGTCCAACAAAAGTTGCTCTGTTTCATTGTGTTTGCGACTTTTCTTGATTTTCGCACTTGAATTCTACGAAGAGAAGAGAAGAGGATAGCAATAATGAATAGACTTCGAGGCAGAAAGAGTTGCTTTGGAATGGAAAGGGAGGGGTCTGGGTGGGTGGGAGCTTAATAAGGGAAATCCATGGAGAAAGAATTGGCTGATGCCACGTGTCAAGAAAGTAGATACTAGGAGTTGTCTAGGGTTTATGCTATTGGACCTTATATTAAGTCTTTTGTGTGAAAACTGGAAAATAAATTATAAGGCAAAAAAAAAAAAAAAGGTCATAAGAAATAATTCCTAAAGGCGAGAGAAGTCTTGCCATTTTTTTCTCTGTTTTTTTTTTTTCATAAAAAAAAAAACTGCTTCATGAATTATTTGTTGATCAAGAAATTGGAAAAGTAATGTCAGATTCTTTGAAACAATTGTCTTGTATGGTACTTGTGAACATGGGCGCAGAGGTGGTCTCGGGGGTCACCCCAACTTTGCTTCTTTTTTTTACCATTAAATTTTTGTGTTTTTGTTTCAATTTTCGAAATCATTATAAAATACTGCATTCTAAATATTATTTCGAAATACTCACGGTTTAATTTTTTACATCGTTAAAATCGTATGAAATGATAAATCGTATCAAATGTTATGACTTGTCAAAGTATGCCGTTCAAAATTAATATTTCAAAAATTTCGGTAACATGTTAATTTAAAGAAATTTACAACGATTGTACGCTAATCAAATTTACAAATTGTTTATGTCTCAAAACTTATTTCGAGAACTACATTATAGACATATCGAATAGTCAAAACATTTATAAAAAATAGTTAAAGATGTGTTAAACATAAGTTTTAAAGAAAAACGTCTAACTCGAATTTTATTTTTTAAAAAATTCAATTATTTCATTAACATTTATTATTTTTGTGATACAAACTTCTCAATATAATTTTCATCATTTTTTAAGGAAAATGACATTAAAAATTTTCGAAATTTTACATCCGAAAAAGTCACATCCCATGTAAATTTGTGAATGCAAAATTATATGGGATCTGATTTTTTTTTTTTACGTAAATTTTTTATTGTAAAATTTCTCTCAACTTCTTTATAAATTCGATTATACACCATAACTTTAAATTTTTGCGTCCACCCCTACTTGTGAATGAAAAGTTCGATAGAAAATAATAAGATTCTATTAAATATTAATATAATAAAATATTAAGAAATGTTAAATATTTTTAACTACTACAATTAATTAAGTTTGATCCCCATTATTTATAATATACATTATTCTCTCTCTTCTTTTCACCCACACATTTTTCAATAAAATAATATTATAAACAAATCCAAAAAAAATCTTATTTTTTAACCACACATTCTTCATTAATCTATTATTCCAAAATGGCAAAATACATTCTTAAAATAAAAATGGGACTCAAACTGATACTAAATTTAGTTATAAAACAAATACAATTATTTAAAAAATATTTGTTGGAAAAATTATTTACCGTCATAACGATCGTTCATGTTCGATCATCAAAAATATGTAAATCGAATCGGAAGCGTATTTGAATCAGACATGGTTATCGTAATGGATGAATCCTACGGTTTTAGTCTTCCAG